GTGTATACGGTGTGGACAGTTGGGCAAAGGGATCATTCACCTCCCAGGGGGGATGCAGTGGGACAGCACACAATTTCATCAAGCTACTCAGAGTGACACATGACTTAAAACACATGGATTGTTTATTTCTGGAATTTTCAATGTAATATTTTTGGATGGTGGTTGACCTGTGGATAACTGAAACCACAGGAAAAGAGTCTGCAGTGAAGTGGGGCCTGGTACCCCCACCACGCAGCAGTTCGGGCTCAGTGTCTGGCCCAGCAGACGTCTCTGGAAGCCTGTTCCACACACACACACAAGCCTGAGACAGAGAAAGGGTCACAGGAGCTGCCACCTGCCCCTGCAAATCTCTTGTTTACTCAGCTCTGGGACAGGGGGGAAGTGAGGAGAATAGAGGTCCCTCTGCCTCTCTCCCTTTAGGCTGAGGCTGCCTGCTACTCTAGGGCTCCCAGGGCTCACCCCTGTCTCCTCCTGACCCCCCCTCCGCCATGAACAAATTCCTCCTGAGATCCTGCTGGCCCCTGCAGTTGCCCGCAATGTCCCCCTCACTGACCTGCCCTTTTCCAAACCTGCCTCTGTTTCCTCCGCCAGACCTTTCCCAGCTCCCGGAGTCTGGCCTTTGCCTCCGGGCCTCCGCGGTCACCTAACCACACGTCTTCCCCTCAGGGCCCCGGGACTGGGGAGCAAGCCCCGTCCTCTGCTTGCCCTGACTTGGCTCTGGTGCTCCCTTCCCGCCTGACTCCCGTCCTCCTCCGGAGCTTCTCCGGCTGCTGCTCCCAGGTTCTTCTCCTCCCTTCTTGCTCTGCTCTAGTTCTTTAAGACAGGTATCTCACGTACCCCAGGGGGACGGACACCAGTCCCCAGTCGCTACTGCAGCCAGAACTCCCCCGGGGTGTCCTCCTGGCCGTCCTTGGGGTCACAAACAGCACAGCCTCACTTCCCCAGTGTCTCCGCTTGTGCCCGTCACCTTTACCCGGGCAGCCGCCCAGACACGGCCGGATTCTCTTCCTTCTTCCCCTCCTACCTAGTCCTGTGACCCGGCCTACTGCAGGAATCTCCTAATTAGTCCGCCCCACTCTAACACACGGTGAGTGGTCACCGGCCTCTGGTGCCAGCCTGCCTAGTTAGAGTCTCACTTCTTCCACTTCCTAGCTGTGTGAGCTGCATCTTGATAAAGTTGGATCCTGATAGTAACTTCTCTTAGAGGGTTGTCGTAAGGCTTAAATGTGCTAATATATGTCCAAATACTTAGCATATTGTACTGTTGCATACAATAAAAACCCGTTTTCACTGCTTATTTATTTCACAAATATTTTAGAATGCCTTCTCCGCGCAGGCGCATTGCTAGACACCAAGGGACGTAATAGTGAAGGAGGGAGGTGATTCTTAATCCCAAGACCCTCCCAGCGGGAAAGCCCTTCAGCCAGGTTCCATGGAGTGAGTGCTCCCCGCTACTCTCCCCCAGCTTAGGGCCGAGGAAAGCAGATACGCCTTGGACTCCTCGCGTCCCTCCAGCATCTGTCCCGGCTCACGCTCCCCTCGTGGCCAACACAGCCAGTGAGTTCCCGCTATGGCAGGTGCTTCCCGCACACCTGTCGCATCCCAGGCTCTGGAGAGTCAGCAGTGAACAGAGGAGGGACAGCACCACCCTCACCGAGCTCACTTTCTCAGGGGAACATGGGCCACAAACAAACACATCGATAGGACCCGGCTCTATGCTGTGGTTGAGGGAGCTGGATCCCACATGGCCAACCGTGCGGTTCAAATCCCAGCCACATGCCTGCGTGCATGCAACCCCGGAGTCCCAAGGAAATGGAGAAGGGATTATGGCGTGACCATGCCTCACTGAGAGCTGCTTTCGCTCTCTCCCTCTCTCATGCACCCTCTGGCTTATAAAGGAAAAAATAAAGGTACAAATATATCAACATATATAAGGTCAACGATGTTAACAGATACTGTAAATTAGGATGAGGCAAGAAGGGAGACTTAGTGACTGGGGAATTGGTGGCTATTCAGATAGGGTGGTCAGGAGAGGCCTCTCTGGCTATGTGACTTTTTTTTTAATAATTATTTATTTTATTTTATTTATTCATTCATTTTTTTTTTATTTGACCAGAGAGAGACAGAGGGTGAGAGTGAGAGAGAGAGGAAGTGAGAAAGCAAGCCACCAGATTCAGGACCCAAACCCTGGTCGGCCATGTGGGAATGTCCAGCACCTTAACCACCACGCCGCCTGCTGGTTCCTGGCTATGTGACATTTGAACCCATCTGAATGGAGTGAGAATCTGAGAAGAGGATTCCAAGCAGAAGGATCAGTGAGTGCAAAGACCTACGGCAGTGACAGTCATGAAATAGCGCAGGAAGGGCAGGAAGGGCAGGAAGTCCCTGGTGGCTGGGTGGCAGGCAGGGACCAGAGTGCGGGGCCATACATCCGGTGTGCCCTGGACTGTCCTGGCAGAACTATTGCCACAGTATTGCTTGCTTTCCCTCTCGAAGGTGCCCAGGTTTAGATGAGGACTCACGTAGCCATCCCACATATGGGGCCACGGTACTTAGTTGGCGTTTTATTCTAAATGTGATGCAGTCTATGGATGCTCCGAGCAGGAAGTGAGGTGAGTGGATGGATCCTTAAAGGATCACAACCGAGTCCTGAAAACTCTTTTGGCTCCTGCCGCCCGCCTCTTGGCTCTCCTCCACCTCCCTGGCCACTTCCTTTCGGTCTTCTGTGGCGGCCCTTTCTCTCCTACTCTAGACCAGTGGTTTTTAACCAGTGGCAATTTCCCCCTCAAGGGACATTTGGTTTTTTGGGGGGGGTTTAATTTGTTTGTTTTAGGTTTTTCTATAGGGCACGTGTGCTTGCCAGAGAGACAGAAAGTAAGAAGTCACCTCCTGGGGGGATGGCCACTCTGCAATTCTTTCTCCTCCATTCTCTTCTTGGGATTTTGGGTGCACATAAATAACACACCCGTCATGATTTTCAAGCCACCGGGTCCAGGACTTGAACTACACAGTTGGCCACATGGGATCCAGCTGCCTTAACCTCTATGCCATCTGCTGGCCCAAGGGGCATTTGGGATTATCTGAAGACATTTTCCATGCTTATGGAACAGGTACTATTGGGGCCTCACGGGTGGAGGCCAGGGATGCTGCTAGAAATCCTGCTATCCACAGAACAGCCCACTCAATAAACAAATGGCCCCAAATGTCAACAGTGCTGGGGTTAAGAAACCCCACTCTAGAGGCTGGCAGGTGGCATTGTGTTTAAGGACACTGGACTCCACATGGCTGACTGAGGTTTGAGTCCCAGACCTGGCAGCTTGCTTTCTCAATTTCTCTCTCTCGCACTCTTTCGCTCCCACCCTCTCACTCTTCTCTCTCTGGTCAAATTAAAATAAATAAATAAAGTTAAATAAAATAATTATTAAAAAAAAGAAACCCTGCTCTAGATCAGCACCATCAAGTAGAAATACCATGAGAACTACATTTACCATAGCAAACTTTCTAGTAGTCATATAAAAAAAATTAAAAACAAGTGAAATTCATTTTTACTACTATGTATTTGCTCAATATGTAAAGATATTATCATTTCAACGTATAATCGATATTAAAAATTCATTGGGATAGTGCACCTATTTTTCAGTTTGCTGTAGAGTGCATATAATCACCCTCCAGAAAGACAGTGAAAGATCACCAACCCAGTGGGGTTGAGATTTTGGGTACACACACATGTGCCATGTGTGTTTTTCAAGCTGCCAGGTCCAACACTTGAGCCACACGGATGGCCATGTGGGATCCGGCTGCCTTAATTACCAAGCCACTGGCTGGCCTGAGATATTTCAATTAAAAAACAATTCAATGTGTATTTCACACTCCTGCACACAGCAGTTCTGAGTGCTTGCTGCCTGGACTTCAACATGTTTGTAGATGGAATTGTCCGACTTCATCTTGGTGCAAAATTTGTTTCTGAAAATCTATGTGTAGTTTTTTTCATAACTTGCGTTGTCCATGAACTCTTCGAAGGTCCATGGTCTGTGGCTCCTGCTATCACATGAAAGGCGTGGCTCAGTGTTAGATAATTCAGACTATGCTCAGGCGCTCTATAAAGCAACAAGGCCTGACGGGTTTGGCTCTGGACCGGATTGCCTGTTGCATTCCAGCCCTCCTCTTTACTCTCTGTGTGTTGTGTTGAGTTACTCTACCTCTGTGTGCTTTTTCAAGTAGGGTTGATAAGGTAACTACTTTATAGTGTTGTTGAGGATCAGCTGGTGAGACCGGCAAGGGCCAGAACTTACAGGGACCTTACATCTGATGTAACGTATGATGTATTAAGTGAGTTAATACTTACAAAACACTTAGAATAGTTTCAGGTGTAATAATAAGTAGTCACCAATTGTTTTTTATTTATTTATTTATTTATTTATTTTAACATAGGGTACGTGCGCTTGCTGGACAGAGAGAGACAGAAAGGGAAAGTGAGAAATCCCCTCCATTTCCCCGAAGGTGGAAGGCCACACTGCAATCCCTTCTGCATTCTCTCCTGAGGATTTTGTGCACGCACATGCACACACACACATGCACCTGGTGTGATTTTCAAGCTACCAGGTCTGGGACTCAAACCACCATCAACCACGTGGGAGTCCAGCACCTTAACCACTACACCACCTGCTGGCTTCAAGTGGTCACCAAATACTAATATTTAGTGAGACCAGTCTCTGTTCCCACCCACACTTTCTCTCTGGATGGTTCCATCCGCTCCTGTAACTTTAACATCACCTATTACCTAATGACTTCCACATTTAAGTATCTAGCTCAGTCCTCTCTTCTGAGCTCCAGACCCCCATCTGGCTGGGTACCGTATTGCCGACCCCGGACGCATCACATGAGATGCCCACCACAGAGCACTCGGCCTCGTCCTGCAAATCTGCGCTCGGCTAGTCCGTGCCATCTCAGCCAGTCACACGGCAGGTATCCCGGAGGCTTCCTCGATTTCCACCTTCCAGGGGTTGCAGAGGACACGGGCTGTGACCTCTATGCTGCCCGAGGCTCCCGCTGTGCTGGTACGTGCCACGGAAGTGCTGTCAGTGCTGAGGGCACTGGGAATGAGAGACTGGGGGGGAGAGGCTGCAGCTGGGGTGATGCCGGGCACTTCCTGGAGTGGCTGCTCATGGCATGTGTCTCTGCGGGTCTGTGCGTACACGTGTGAGCACTGGCCAGGTGTGGGAGAGGTCACAGGGATAACCAAGGGTCCCCAAGTAGGTCTTGCTGTGGGGGTAGTTACTCTCAGATCACCAAGCCCCTTCCCACTTGACAGGATGGCTTCCTCTGTGTCCACCCTGGTGTCTGACCCACCGATTGAGACCTCCCTGCCCAAGAAGCTCACCTCCAGGACACGCACATTCCACTCCGTTCTGAGCCCTGGGGCTTCTCTGAGGAAGTGGGGTCTGGGAGGATGGCAGTAAATCTCAGAATTTCTGTGAGTCCCCCTTCTGAGGGACAGGGCAGTTGGACCCCCCCCCACACACACACACACACACTGAGGTCTGTAGTCAGAAGCGGGGTGCTCTCAGAACAGCCAGCGGGGTGTCTTCCCTTTCTCTCCTTCCTGCACTTGAAGGCCCTACCTTGGCTTCTGGAAGGATCCCTCTCCTGGCCTCCTGGTCCCCCAGGACATTCCCTGGTAGACTGAGACCTGATACCCCAGGTCAACCCCACCGCTGCTGCCACCAAGTCAGGCCCTTGGGGACTTGACCAGACACCAACTTTTTCAGGCGCCAGGCCCCAACTCCAACCCTCCCTTCAACAAGGTGTGAGCCCGCAGCCTCCGTTGGTCCCAGCTCCTGCAGCACACTCACTCCACTGCTTCGGCCCTTCCGTGGAAACTGCTAGAAAACTCGTGTCAAGGGTCAGGCCACAGCGACCCCCACCGACGTCGACAAACCAGACCTGGCAGCCACCAGGAACCCCAGGAGGCCCAAGGCGGGCTGACCCTGGCAGGAGCTGGGACGTCAGAGGAGACAGGCCTGCAGCGCTCCTGGCGATCCAGGGACAGACAGGACCCATGGCTTCTGCGCGGGGCCTCCCAGGGCACCTGCCCAAGGCCACCCAGCGCGGCGGCC